GGTCTTAAAATAATTGAGAAGAATTTGCTACCTTTCTATAACATCAAGAAATGGTTAGATATTCTAGTCTTCTCGGATAGGGACGAATAAATGGAGGTCCCGTCTCCTGCAGGGTTGGGGTAGGAGACGTTAATTTCCCACACATGAGATTACTGTGTGATGGATGTCCTCCCCTGGGGTGGGATGGGTGGGATATAGGGCGCACTTAATTTGGAGCCTCGCTCTGTTGTGCGACCCTCACCACACTCTGGTGAAAGTGATTAAATAAAGCTTAAATAAATAAATAAAGAAAAAAGTCTCATCAGTTATTATATTTTTGTTATGATTCATTTCGATTGGTAATTTAAAACAGAAAGTAGTAGTGACAGTGACATTACTTGGAGTGAATACATAACATTGTCCTTTGCTGCCTTTAAACTTCTTTCACCACAAAATGTTTTAAGCTATGCTTCACTTTCAGATACAAATTATAATTTGCTGAGAATTTTGGGTTGTAATTAAGAAAGTCACATGTCTTTGTGAAATTTTTTCGTGGTTACTGATTCTCTTTTAATGTAACTGCAAAACAGTCTGTGACTGGTTTAAGGAATGAGTAGAGCAATAGTGTAGAGCAAATGTAAAATACATTTAAAATTACATAATTATATATGGAGTATCTTTGTCCTTTAAGACTGTTTATCACCTTCTGAGTAACTGAGGATTCTGTGAGAGCAGGAAAGTACTTCAGCTGGCTTTTAGTATTAATAAGTCTCAAGGGCCCAAATAATTTTTTTTTTTTGTGGGAAATATACTGTACTATCAAGGTGCTGAGGATAATGACATTCTTAACATTGTACTGTAGTCTGATTTTCTGGGCGAGTGTAGTCCTTAGAAGGACTGTTGTGACTGATAATAATTATTCACTTGACTCTGATGATGACTTATGCTCAGGTTGTCAAATCGTCAGTCACTGATATTGACAACAGTCTTTGTCAGGACTACACTGCCCTAGACAATCAGACTAAACTTTCACATGTTACCCTCAGGTTCAAATCATTTACTGTATTCCTGAAATTGTAATCATGTTCCTTAAGGTTCCTAGACTAGACACAGCACACATAGAGGAGGCATCGCACTGGGTAACACTGGAGTGGTATGTAAAATGCCAGTCAAAATAGATATTTCTACAATCATATTGTAATAATTTTATATGTATTAATGAGCACATTTTCTGAAACACACAGGTTAACCCCGACTGTCACCTCTAAAATCTCAATATAAATTCTCCCCCCACATGCAAGACCATTTCTTCTAACTTAAGTCAAGAGAATTTGGTGCTAAATCTGACAGTTTGCATAAGACGGTGTCTTGCTTTTACCCATCACCTTTCTGCTGGACAAGATGTTGATATTAGCTCAAAGTTATCAAAATTTAATTTTTTATTAGTAAACATTCATGTCACGATCCTTCTCACTGTTAATCTTTTTATTCTTTTCAGTCCTTTAGAGTTGAACAGAATCATGGTGGATTGGTTGAACAAAATTCATGCAATGCAACCTGATTCATCCAAGTTGTAACACAAATATGATATGAGAATATTTGTTGATCTGTGACAAAGAAAATTGACAGCACATCTGTTGGTGGAAGAAACTTTCATTGTTATTTCCTTGTAGCACAACCTGATTCATGCAAGTTAAAGTTTGTTGCATATTGTGGAAATGGCCAGGTGGTTGGTTGCAAAGAAATAGGATCACTTCTTAAGGCAAAAACCATAGGTTCTTCTTCGACACTCTTGATCAAGTAGTTCAAATATTTGAAATAAAAAAGAAAAGTTGAAGGGACATTGTATATTTTTGTAACCTGAGCAAGAGCAAAAAATTAAAAAAAAAAACATACTTGGAATTGCAAGTTGGACACAAGGCTAAGTGATATTGTTTTGCTTCTCTTGTTTCACACTCACGATAACAACAAACAATATTATTGCTACATTTTCTTTTTTTCTTATTTTTATTCAATTATGTGATTCAAGGAAAATCCATGACATGACACATCAAAAAATTGCACTCGAAAACCCACATTGTACTCATGGGTTTTTGCATGCAATTTAATGCATAATGAATTTTCCTATAAAATACTGTAGAGCTAAAAAGTACCATATATGTGGACAATAACAACCTCTGTCAGTTCCTGTGAGATTTAGTGATTGCCTTCGAACAGAAAAACATTACCACTCCTGCACTAAAATTAATCTAGATACCTTTATACACTTCCCATTGTTATTTACAGTCTCTTCCAATGGAACACTGTGTCAAGCACAGTTACTTATCACAGTGACTATGTTTCTTAGCCTAGTTGAATTAAGACCTTAAATCTGAGGGCTTGATCACAATTTTATTCATTTTTTAAAACTTACCAAAAAAGACAAGTTAAGAGATGATCTCTTTTTGTTTTAACAAAGTTCATCCATCTTACTATTAATCATCTACATCATAAATCTCAGCTATCGCTAAGATATTGCAATGAGATTTTGAGGTAATTATTTCAGTTAATAATTCATCTGTAATGATAAGTTGAAACAGGTGATAAAATCCCTCTCGAAGTTTAAATTCCTAATAACTTTAAAGTCACAAAGTTTACATTTCTTAATTCATAATGTTACTTTGCATCCTTAAAACTGCATTCATTTACTTAATACTGATTTCCAGTCAGGCTTAAGCTTAAATACAGCACTTGACCTTGATTAATTATAGACACATTCTACCAAACTGAAAAGAAAGCTCCCTCAATCATTATTCATGTTCTCTCATTTATAATAAATATAGATATTTACTCAGAGTCTGAGACTTTTGGGAAAAGATTGGAATTTGTGAGCTAGCTAGCCTACACAGCAGGCAAATCATTTGTTTATGAAATAAGGGGAACTTTTGAATAGACCTTACTGCCCACAATTTCACATTAATTACAACATGTGTGCCCTTTCTACCAGATCCTATTTTGTAAATATTAAAACCTAAATCTAGAGGTGTCTTTTTTTTTCCAAAATAAAATTTCTCATAATTATTTGTCATTGCCACCCTTTGAGATAACAATACAATAACTTCCTTAAAATGCCATCAGGCTCTAAACAGTCTCTTTCACTAACCCCAACTTGAATTGAAACTTCATTTCTACAGATCATTTGGAACAGTCATGGATCCCAACTTCTCGATTGTTCATGAATTTTCCTGTGTTGTTTCAGTTTCACTTGCAGTAAAGTTCAATTAAATTATTCATAAAAGTCTGAGTTTTCAAATTTCTTGAGTATCATGAATGAGCTGGGAAAGTACTTGACGTATGAACTAAATTGATCAATTTCTTCACAGCAACCATCCACTGGTTTACCTGTTGAAAAGATAAAAACCATTTTAAATTAAATATTTGCTTACTCAGCACATGCAACTAGTCTACAAAGTCATACACCAAAAAAAGTAATTGGATTAATGCATATAAACTGGATATTTTGTCTTGCATCTACATGTGTAAATAACTTAACAAGGAAAAATGCAAAGTAAACTGAAAGTCATCAAGAGACAATTATAAGATTTTGACCTTCAAACTCAACCCTAAAAACAGCAGTTTTAAGATGCAGTGGAAAGAGAGCTTACCTCGCTAACAAAATCAACCATCAATGAAATATGAATCTGATGTGCTTCCTCAACATTCCCAGCATCTAGAGCTAAACAAGAAGATCAACACAGTTTGTAGTCAATAATTTTTAGTTTGTTTACATTTAGTTTTTTTTTTCAGTAACCTAATAAAAGAATGTAGTTGAATTATTAAGTATGCAAATGACATTTAAAGGTAGAGTTATTTGAGAAGTCGACACCAGCTTACATCTGACTTAAAGCATATTTGAGAAAGTCATGCAGGATCACATTTACTTTGTATTATTTTGCCAAAAATAATTAAAAGCTAACTTTTAATTCCTCTTAAAAGCAAAAATCAATATCAATCAATTTTTCATTACCTTGTGCAAGCTTTATCATTCTGCTCTTGACACCCAGGCTAAGTTTCCCATTTTTCCAATTCTGACTCATCACTTGAAGTCTTCGTGCAATATCATCAGCTACTCTTTTCTGTGAGATAAAAATAATGTTCAGCTGAATAATGCATGAACAAATGACTTCTCAAGCTGGTTTTGTGACTGAGATAAGTCATGCAAGATATTTCACTGTCTCAGCTGCAACAAAATTCTTGTGACGTGAAAGAATTGAAGTCACAATCAGAGTGACAAGATTCTTACTTTTGTGCACCACTTTGAATAATCAGGGAAAAAATTTACACAAGATTCTTAGTTTTGTTGGAGTGGATACCCTTTAAGTGACTGTCCAATGCAGGTGAAGCTGATACAAACAGCACAGTTGGGACTCAGTCACAGGTGACAACCACCAGTTAATTAAATAGAGGAGCAAATCGAAGCTACCAGTACGTAATTAAGAGGAAAAATTTTTAGGACTCTGACAACTGACCACTTAACACAGGGTGACCACCAAAAAAAAAAGGCTCGACGGTACATTTGTCCAGAACACCAACCTCTAAATTGTCCTGAAGCTTGTTGATAACATCCTGTAGGGCATCCATGGTGATCTTCAGCCCTTCTTGGTCATCCACTGAACTAGATGTAACAACATTTTTCTCTTCCCCAGAGGGGGACGTGCTGCGAGGAGTACTCCCTGCACTTAAAGAAGCTGAAGGTGAGATGTGATTTCCTGGGAGTGGTGGTGGAGTCCTACTATGTCCCATATGAGAATGCATGGCCACTCCATTCCCCTGTGGAAGTTTTGTTCGTGGAACAGGGCTTTGCCTGTGATACAAGGGAGGTGTTGTGTGACCAACTGGAGGTTGGCTTGGTAATGATGGTGGTGGTGTTACATGGCCTAAGGGAGGGATGGATGGCTGTGTCAGGAGCGGGTTATCTTGATAACTTGGCATAGCAGTAGCTTTTGTTACTGGAGGAGTTGCAGGGTGGAATATCTGTGGGGAGCTATGGTGATCATCAAAATGATCACTGATTTCTGCTGTTGAGCGGATACTATGTAGAGGTGCAGTTCTTATCGGTTCAAAACTATGATCTTTTAGAGCAAATAATGGTTGTCCAAGATTCCCTGAGAGATTTTCTGTTGATTTGGCAGAAGCATGTGCACCTGGAGGGTTGATACTTTGTGTTAAGTTAACAGATGCCTCACTTGAACTTGCTGTCCCTGCATCAGTGAAAGAAGGTGTGGATACACTCCTTGTAAACATAGTTGGTATGGAGGGAGCCATAAGATTACAGTTTACAAGAGGTGAAGTTGTTGTCACTGGTGCTGGAGTGAAAAGTGGCTGGGTGACACCATTCAGATTATTGCTGCCAAGAGGTGGATTTGTTGTCACTGGTGGAGTGAATAGTGGCTGGGCAATGCCATCCAAATTATTGCCTCTAAGAGATGCATTTGTTGTCACTGGAGGTTCTGTATAAAGTGGTTGGGAGACGCCATTGAGTTTAAGAGCACCAACCCCTGTGAAATAGTGAATTAGATTTGAGAAAACCAGTAATTAAACTACGACTAATCAAATCATATTTCTGCATTTTCTAGCAAAGTATAGCCCAGTGAAAATAAAAAATATCAAGTTTAAGGATACATGTGTGTTACCATAATCTTCCTGAAACAATAATTACTCAAAGTACTTTCAAGTATTGTGATTAGTGATTAATGTTGTCTGTTTTGTTTCTTTCCAGTCTGTTGTTTCTGCTGAAATTATAACTGTCAATGTTCTAAAACTCACTTTCTGGGTTCTGAACTTCTATGAGTATTGGTGTCAGTGGTATCTGTATAGATTTATTTAAATATATGCTGAAAGCTTGAAAGGCTTTATTACCCGTATCAAATTTGCTGATTCTGATCTCCAGAATCACTATTACTCGATTTAGATCTAATAAACAGCGATTAAAGAGATATACTTCGTTTTTCCATTGAACAGTACTACAGTATTCACGATGACACAAAATTTTGCGAACCAAAAATATTACAGACGTGTACCAACACGGCAGGGAGCGAAGTTTATAAACAATTTTCGGGGTTTTCGTCATCATGACATTGCTGAATTGTGCAATCCTTAATTTTCGAACATCTCGACAAGATTCGACTCGGGAAAACTTAAAATTTCGACTCACCGTTTGTAATTTCATCGTTGTTAACAACAGCTGGTTGTAAATTTGACGACGGTGTTTGTACTCCATGTAAAGCTTGTTGATGTGATACTCTCTTCCTTAAATCTAACTTCGGTCTGTTGCCCGTCATGTTATTAGAGAACGCAAAAGTTGGAGGGTCATTCCAACCTCGAGCAGAATCGCCATTGTAAGCTATAATACCACCAGAAGCTAAATTGGAACACAAAACCATGTTTGTTACTGTACGTACGAGAAAGTTCTTAGTTGTAGCGAAGGCTAGGATTAACTTCTAATGTTATGACGTTATGAATATTCAGATCAGGGCATAAATATTTTCGAGGTTGCCCTAGAGTTTTCTATGAGTGCTTCTGCGGGGGCACGCTAGTAATGAATGAGTAGCTTTACGGGAAAATGGGATTCTGTCCCATCTTTGATACGCTAAAATGAAGGAGTTTACGCGACTAAAATTAAAGTGAACGGTCGCTCGATAAGAGAACACATCCATTTTGTTAGCGTGTTGTTGTTCTATTGAAATAAAGTCACACCAGAAAAAAAACCATGTGAATCAAATGAATCTAGAAAATAACTTATCTTTCACTTCACTTCACACGCTAGTTACTCTATGGGTAAAGTATATCTACACGATCGTAAAATTCGACAATGACCAAGATAGATCTTGAAAGAAATCAAAAATCCTCTGACGGAAGGCGCCATATTGAATGCATTTGAAGTCACTGGTACGAAAACTTGTCTCAAACTCGGAACTTTTACGTCTCTAGACCATCATTTTCGACTGTCGTATTCAATGATTAACTATCACTATCATATAAACACTTTTATGGGTCTTAGAGAGGACATAAAGCTTACCTCTAGGGCTCGGATCGCCCGGCATTTTGAGGGAAACGAACAACTTCTGTAATCGATTGTAAACTCGTGACGTGTCCCTACCCTATGACGTCCGAAGACCGGAAGTTTATGAACCGGAAACAGTTAAACAAAACGCGTAACGAGGAACACACGTACAAAAATATCACTTTGAACCAGGAAGTGAGTCAATCACTTGCACTTCGTTATTGGTCACTCAGAAGTCACTTACCGTAATGTTTCTAGTAAAGGAAATCTTAAGTTTATGAAAAATATCCCTCCTCTTGACACAGACCGAAAAAATAGTTTTCTCCGAACTCTCCCGATTATGTACGAAGATTTTCGTATCCGAATGTCACCAAATCGAGTCAGTAGCATCAATATGGTGGAAACAAGTGGATTTGCCGGTGGTTTTTCCCTTCAAAATATTTATCAGCTGGTTTGATATCCACCTAGAAAAAAATGGCAATATCATGTTTCGTCAAATTTATATTGTTTTCGTTGACGACGATAGGATATTTTCAGAAAGGTTGCGGTCAATGGAGCTCTGGTAAGCCGCTGATCTGTTTCTTACACAGCCGACTGTTTTAACGTTAAAGTTGTTCCGCTCGGAACAAAATTTGTAAATTTTTGGTAATTGCCAAATGTACACCGTGTATTAACTGTGGACAAAGTTCTTTTTTTAATCATTTTAAAGACCTAATTCCTTTCATAAATGTAACGGTTATTTGTGTTTGTCGGCGACTTAATATTATATTTTGCTGCATTTCTGAACGCTGTCCTCGAGATCTAGCAACGCATCCTCAAACGCTGTTACCGATTATGTTTGATATCTATGCCTTAAATAAAATATTTAGGAGAACAGAGGACGAGTTTAAGGAGAATTTTTGGGATCAGCCTATGTTTACTTATATTTGTGAGTAGGATGTGAGTTGGAGAATTTTAATTGGACAGTTAAACATATATACTAACTAATTTGGCTACAAAACTAGCTAAGCTTCTTCCTTTAAATTTGTCGAGAACTTTAGGTTGAATGCGTCGGAAATCCAAATTGTGACACAGCATGAAAAAAGAAATATTAACTGCTTTATACCGCGAAACCGATTTACCGTGAAATCTTTCGATTGTTTCCAAAGTCAACAGAACACGAATTTGCACGAAATGCGACAAAGGGAACAACTGGGAAAGATGACAATATTTGGTGCTCTTCAGAGCAATTTTAGTTCAATTTTCCTCTGATGGTATTTCCTAAGTAACTTGGTGAATTTTCACAATGTATTTGGCACGTAAGAATTAACGCGAGGGCATCAGTAACATTGGTGACCACAGAATTATGTATTTCAAGCATGGTTTGTTTTGTTTGTCAGCTTGGTTTTTCTGATGTTCTTGAATAATTAAAGATGATAGGTCCAGAGAGATTTTCAGAATGGACTCTGTTGTATATTACACAAACATTAAACTTTTCAGAAGATGTTACCAGACTGATTCCACCAATAGCCATTAATTTTTTTCCTGATTTAAGGCAATTCCCTGTTTAAGCTTAAGGCTAGCAGAATATTTTTAACAAGTAATTTTATTGCAGTATGCTTAATTAATTATTTAGAACCTCAATGAAATGTTTCTGAACGTCATTAGGTGACAAGTAAAAACTTTTGTAGTATTCTGGAGCTAAAACACATTAAATCCGATAATAATAAATTCCTCCTCTAAATTCATTAGTATTCTCAATATTGATGTGACATCCAGACTGGGTTTTCTTGGGTAGGACATACCGAAGCTAAGTTTGTCAAACAAGAATGCATACATCTTCATCGCTAACATTTTTTTTACCTGTACAGAAAACTCTGGAAGTCCAGAGTATAAAAAGCATTGAGTATATATAATTCATTTAATAAAACAGTTTGCAAAGATGCATATGACTTTACCAAGCCAACACATTATTATGGTAGTAAAGTTTACTCCAGGGAACTTTAAAGATCCAATAAATAGTTAAAATTTCATACTAGGTACCCATGACAACATCAGTATTTAAGCCAAGTATTCATGCTTTTTTATCTTATTGCTTTTTTTAGCAAAGGAACACCAGTTTAAAGAACTAAGTCAAAGAAAATATCTTTTAATAAAATCTTTTTTTATGAAAGAAGCTAATGAAGCTCAATCGTGAAAACCAGAACATGATACAGTGGAATGTTTGCTTTAATTAGCTAGGTAGTGTGTCTAGGGTGGTTTCATTTAAACAAGTCTTGTCAAAAGTCAATGTCTGCCTCTTCAATGTTAGCCTCTAATTATCATCTCAGCCCTCTTGAAAGTTGTGCAGCTTGTATGATACAACTGATTGAGCAAGCATGTTTATTTAACAATAACAATAAATCCTTATTCCCCTGGCTCTGCAGATAGCAGTGCTAATCGAGTGCGAATTGAGTTATTCTTTTTGTATTTATTACATCATACCATGCAACTGATCAAGTTATGTATACTTTGTAGTACTTAAACCAAATCTTAAACGTACAAACAATCTAAGTACAAGTGCATGCTTGCATATTGGGTAGTAGCAATACATGTGATTGTACATGTACAAATTATTACATTTGCAACATGTTTGTATAGCATTGTAATGTGTGAAGCCATTTCTGGATGATTTCTGGACCAAGTTATCAGTAGCATCTATCATATTAAGAATTAAAGTGCCCATAATGTCAAAAAACTTTTTTCGCTCCTCTAATTCTACATCTCACCAAATTAACTTTGGTGAAACATTTTTTCGATTTGGATAAAACGCGATTTTTTTACAAATTTTTACAAAGTTCAAAATTGTATTTTCTTGCGGTCGACCCTTGCCGCTGATCACAAGAATAACATGCTCAAAATGACCATGTGACTGATGTCTGTGACATAGGTTTAGGAACCTCACTTGACCTTAAAGTGCATATAAATACACTGGTCGAGTGCGGGTCGTTTACGATTTTGTGAGCTTACGATATTGTGACCACTCTGAAGCAAATTCCCACTTGTTTTCAAGTCAGATAAGTCACAACCTAAAATCACATGTTCCTGAACCTACGTCACGACTCACTTTAAACCGAGGAACACTGGTATGAATGGTGGACCAAAATGGCGGCAAATTTGAATTTCTTTAAAAACTTATAAAAAAATTGGGTTTTATCCAAATCAAAAATTTTTTTCACAGAAGTTCATTTGGTGAAATGCAGAATTAGATGAGCAAAAAACATTTTTTGACGTTATGGACACTTTAACTACATGTATTGCCACACATTCATTAGCTGAATACAAAAACTTACATTAGGCTTATATTTAAAGATTCTCATTCGTGTAAAAATGATTTTGGATACTAATAACACAATTGAATCCTAAGTGAGCATTTTGCTGATGATATTCCCCAAATTTAATAGTACATTTATTGGGGATTACTAATGGACATTTCCTTCTAAATTTATTTATTAACTTTTCCACTCCCTTAGAGATCAGTAAGTAATTAATTATTTAAATGAAAATAGTGAATTTTAAGTGTGGTGATTTAGGTGAAAGGTGATGTTAATCAATGAATGATACAGGGTACACTTCAATTTGCAATAAAAATTGAATAATGGTGAGGGGGTCTTTCTTTGTGTAGAAGACACAGGACACGTCACAATAGAAATCCATCTCATAAACCTATCTTTTTCATTGTTTTCCTCATTCTTTGGTCTTTTTTTCTCTAATCATTTTACTTCAACAGGGTCTTCTACTTCAAGTAAGAGCCTAGTGTGGCTGAATTGTAATGTCTTATCTATTTTAGGATTACAACATCTGACAGAAAATGAAAAGTTGAATCTTGAAGCAATTACAAAAATACATGTCCACCTTGATGATGATAGGAATGGGAAAGTTGACTTGAGTGAATCAAATGAGGTTAGTGTTGTGATTTACAGAAAAAAAAAAAGGTTACATCTATTCTTCCAGTCCTACTGGCCCCTTCTCTTGGACTAGATCCCAAGATCATGAGCTTTGAGTGACTTATAATTTGTAGCTTGAGAGAAAATTACATTTATTTACAGCTCTACATCTGAAAAAGCAATTGCTTGTGCCATCAAAAAATTTAGGGGAAGAATTCTGTTCTGTCTTGAGTAGTCCTCTCGTAGATGACCGCCCATTGACCCTAAGTACCATTGTACCTCTTCCTCTTCCTCCAAAGATTCATGAAGTTTCTGTAAAGTTTTTTCCTTAGTTCTTATTTACCAAGCAGGAGGTCTGTATGGGAGAATCTTGACTGAGGTCACCAGTACACACCGAATACAGTGAGGTCTGTACCAGCGACCGAGGTCAAGATTCTCCCATACAGACCGACCTAGCTCGGTTAATAAGATGTTTATTATATGGCTGTGTCTTATGTAACAATTTTTTATATTCTTTGTACCTTCTTTCCAGACCGATCTAGATGCCAGTCTAGATGGGAAAATCTAGACTGCTTTCAATATTGATTTCAGCCAATCAAATCCGTGAATTTGGTAGTTCCCAGTCCTTGTGAGACACAGCCATATAATGATACCCAATAATATTCTACAGAAAGTCAATGTGAGAGGTTAGTTAGCCCAATGGATAGTGCGCTGGACTGTTGTGCGGGAGGTCAAGGGTTCAAGCCCCGGCCGGACCAACACTCAAGGTCTCAAAATAATTGAGAAGAATTTGCTACCTTTCTATAACATCAAGAAATGGTTAGATATTCTAGTATTCTCAGATAGGGATGAATAAATGGAAGTCCTGTCTCCTGCAGGGTTGGGGTAGGAGACGTTAATTTCTCACACATGAGATTACTGTGTGGTGGATGTCCTCCCCTGGGGTGGGATGGGTGGGTTTATACATTGAGTGTAAAGCGCTGTTGATCTGTCATTGTAAATAGCGCTCTATAAGAAATAAATTATTATTATTATTATTATTTAGTTTTTTTCCAAGAACCAAAAATATTGAGTACCCAGCCACTTCTCAAACCCTGTCCTTTTGATCTACAGTCCATTATACTGAACAACTGTAAGTTAGGGCTTTGTCTCCTTCTTGTGTAAAGCATGGGTCAAACACTTACTTTTGTGAGCTGAACTTCTGTGTGTTGTGAGTACAATACATGTTATGATGTACTAATCTTGTATATCTTAAATTGAATTCTTTAGTTTATGCGTGATGAACTTCAAGTGACTGATGAGGAACGACACTCTCACTTCCATGGAAATGATGATCTCATCTCTGTGGATGAATTCTGGCAGAGTTGGGTGCAAAGTGCAGGTCAGAATCTATAGAAATTGAAAGTCTGTCTTTTAAACAGTAAAAGATTTGATCTTAGTAACAAGTGACTTTTAATAGTTTAATCTGATCATGTGGTTGAGGGTAATCTAAAAAAAATGCATGGTAAAAACATGAGCATAAGTTGTGATCAGAATTATGATTCTGATGATCACATCCACACTGATTATTCATTGCCACAAATGACAGACCTTCCTTGAACAATTGAGGCACTGTTATGTTGCTAACATATTAGATTTCTGCAATATAAGTGACATTAATTTGAACCTTTTTTTGTCCCTTTCATCGTGAAACTAGCTAATAGTTGTTGTGCTTTGTAGTTCACAACTGGACTAATGAAGAAGTCACTGAATGGCTCAAGAACTCTGTCCATCTACCACAATACGCTGATGTTTTTGTGAGTGCAGCTATCAATGGATCAGATGTACCTCGGTGAGCAAGGCTACCTTGGTCCACATTAAAACTTTTTTATCACTGAAAAAAAACTAATCTTGTTCCTTATGCAGCTCACTGCACTGGCATGGTTTCCTTGCTACAAAATTAAGTGTACAGCATGTCAACAAGAAAGTACAAGAAATCATTGAATATTTCTGCAATGTTCAGTCCTATTCTGAACCTGCATGGAGCTTTGTAAGGTGCAAGTTATTTTCTCAGAAGATGCCCACTGCCCCTGTCCATTACTTTCTAATCTAAAATCTGATTAATTCCTCTCCTGTACTGCTGTACTGCTGCTTCCTCTCTGTCACCCAAGATTATAAATGACGACCAGCAAACTGTAAGGGTAGTGGGATGAGTTGTTGAGGAAGGGGAGTGGTGTAATATAACCTTGTGAGTAGCATAATGATATTATACTGCTTCAGGCTGGGATTCCAAATTCCCTTTGTTTAAAATTTTTCAAAGCAGTTCGCTTTTTGCTTTGAATTTCTTCCTCTTGTTTTAATCATTGTAATCTGAAACAAAGAAAAGTAGAGAGAAAGTGGTTTGAAAAATTTTAAAACAGTAGAGTTTGGCAATCAAATAAGTGTGGAAAAAATAGTACTTTGAATTTACCTTTCATTAAGCTGCCTCTCTATGGTCCCTCAGTCTTAACAATTTTTTTTTTAATTCTTAGTTTTTGAAATGAAATTAATTATTTCTCTCCAATGTAAAAGTCTAAAGTCTTTCATGGTTTGTAGTTTGGCATTTTTCATGAAACAATGTTTTGGTTGATTTTTCATTATGATTATAACAAGTTTTCCACATTTGATACACTGTTACTTGCCTTTCTTCTGCACATGTCAATGTACACCCAACAGTTACATGACTTTTTCATAAATAAGCAAAGGTTGTATGTGGATTTCTGTATTTGAGGCCAATTAATTATGAATGTTGTTTGCATTTGGATTTGGACAGCTGGCTAATGTATAAAAATTTGACAAATTGTAGCCACAGAGAAACAAGATTTTAAAACTTCCCAGAAGGTACATTTTGATAAATTGATAATTCAATATTTCCTTTGGACTTTATCTCCATACTCTATCAGATTATGTATAGATTCCCTCGTAGTTATATCACTCAGGTTTTCGCTGTCTTGTAGAATCCTCTATAAGTTATCGAGGAGATGAGATAGTACCATCTTTACTAACATGGAAAACTTATTCCTTGATTGTGCAAGTCTTCCAGCTTGCTCAAGCATTTTAGATATCATAAAACTAAAGGGCAAGATTGTCTTTCTCTAATTTTAGTATCGTATTAGAGAGAGTACGGTTGAGGTGCTGAGGACAGGGTGATTTTTTAAATTGGAGTTTGCATTTTGATTAGCATTTGTTTTCAAAGATATGGTGATCATAATTTGAAACAAAAAGTAATAAATTGAAATAAGTTTTCTAAATTAAACTGTAACTTACAGTAACAGGGACTTAAATTATGAAATTTTCTCAGATTATATAGAAGAAATAATCAACTTCCTCACTTATTTTTCACAAAAATTTACAGCAAAAAATTGACCCAAAAAGTTGGTAATATATAAAATACATTTTTGTCATTTTGTGTGTAAGAATTTCGAGAGAAATTGTTCAAGGGTTTTATCAAGTAGCTTTCTCAGTTTGGATGAAATTTTAAATTGGTGTGTGAGTTTCGTTTAAAATGTGCACAATATTTTTGTCAAAAAGGAATTAGCTGGGTATGAGGAGTGTTTAAAGATTGCAAGACTAATGCTAAAAGCAGCTGGCAACAGGTGGTTGAATGGACCTTTGGCAATTATTAATTCTCAATACTGTCACTGCTTTTGGAATGCTGAGACTAAAATCTGGACTCCTCTGCTAAATTTTCCAACCTTTTATTAATTTTCTTTCACTGGCAATGCCTATAAATTTTTTTTGAAACAGTATAAAATGAAGTATCAAATTTTCTATCTAGAGAATACTCTTTTGACTAAGCTTTGTGATGAATAATTCTTTTCACTTTGTATTGGTATGCATTTATTGCATGATAAAGTTACACAAGGTGTAGCTATGTTCCATATTTGGGGTAAGTTTGGCTTGGGTTTTATTATAAATTACCTGAAGCTATCTCACATGCATTTATGATGTACAGGCTGGCTATAGAGGAGAATGGTCTGCTTCAGAACGAACTGGGAATAAAAGATCCAAAACATCGCAAGAAAATTGGCCTACGTGCCATGGATGTTGTTCTATTTGGACCTCCATTTGGTAAGAGTGCTCAGATATGAACTGACAGTGAAATTATTCTCTTAGTTCTGTGTAACATACTTTCTGGAAATCAGTCTAACTAGTTAATGTTAGTAATAACTTTATTACATTCAGGTCTTTTGGGTTCACAAAATGTTCTCACTGTTAATGGATGTGTATCCTTGAGAAAATTGTTTTCAATTCTGTTGTTAAAGGCAGTGTCAGGGTGGGGCTGTGTTAAAATTTTCCTTGAATAAGATTGATTGTACCTGATTCAGTGCTGTTAATTTTTTTTTTTACCTTTATACTCAAGAGTTTTAATATTCTGAGGCAGAAAATCAGCTTTCATTTTTATTTATGGATAAAGTGGTCTAATTTGACCTCAGCTTGTGAAATTTTCAATTTTTTGTGAGTTAGAGGATAATAAAGATTTGGAATACTGTTCATTTTTTTTTTGTGGAATCAAGCCAATATTAGGTCCTAGAGTGTTATCAATCTCTTCAATCCTAGTGGTGGTTCTTTCAAAGGACTGCAGTCATGATCTGCAACTAAGTTTTAGAGATATGATCATGCAGAAAATTGTTCAAAACAGATAAAAAGATAAAGAACCGTTTTTGGTAGACAATTGGTTGTATCAACTAAGTTGAAATTGTAAATTGCCCACTGTAACGAATAAAAAAACTGACGTTTCGAGCATTAGCCCTTCGTCAGAGTGAAGGAAACACTCTGACGAAGGGCTAACGCTTGAAACGTCAGCTTTTTTATTCGTTACGGTGGTCAATTTACAATTTCAACTTAGTTGATACAACCAATTATCTTGTTACCCCCACCAACGCAGCACCACAGTTTCTTTAGAAACTTTCAGCCTTTATTCATTTGTCTTTTTTGGTAGAGTTAGTAACCCTTACCCAGTCCAAAACAAAGTCACTATTACCTAAAACATCTATTTTGAAATCATAATTGTAATGGCTTGATAATAAATTAAATACCTAACATAGATATGTGTGAAATATTTCAGTCTTAGGACATAACCTACTGAAGGATGTTGTTGTAGCATTCTCTGTGCTGGTTGCAACTGTTGGTTGCTGGATAGCTGTTTCACAGAAACGCAAAGCAAAAGAACAAATGGAACGAATGATCAAAGACATGAAAATACTCCAGCAAGCCGAGGATGGTCTCCAGGAACTGCAAACTAGGTGATATGTTGTTGTTGTTTTTTTTTTTTCTCATCAATCATTCAAACACAGTGTCTGTTTAACACTTTACACTCTAGCATCAGTATGCATATTCTCTGAGTGTTCTGTATGTGTTTTATACACTTTCGAAGGTGCTGACAAGGAGAATTTGTTTAACAATCAAAAGCAATCAGTCTAAAGTTAACTAAATTTAATGATCATTTTCTTTATTCTCATGACCTTAATGTTTGATTCAGGGATACTATTGTAAGAAGAAATTAGATGCCAGTCACTCTTACAGATTAAGGGTTGCAATGAATGATGTGTTTGGTATATCAACACAGCATTATTTGATGTACGAGGAAGGTGTACTTGTTGACAAGCTAACAATGCTGTTGCTATCATTAGTTATTAGTTAGTATTTTAATTTGTATCAAATCATGCTAAGTTGTTTGTCATTTCAAAGATTGGCCAAAGCAGAGGAAGATCATCATTTAGCCATTGCAGAAAAACTTGATTTAGAGGCAAGACTAAATGAAGAGCTGGAAATGTCAAAGGTGTGTATTTAATAGTGAGCTGGAGAATATATAAGATAAGCACTGTATGTCTGAAGAACTAAGTGCTTATGCCATCAGAATTAAAGCACAGAATTCTGCTTGGTAGCAAGAAGCCCCTATGATGATCTTCAGTGTCAATTGTTGTTTAATATTGTAATGAAGTTTGGCTGACATGTGAGACCTAAGATGTATTTATGTTGTCTAATTACTAGTATTACATTTCTTAAAGTTTGTTTCTAAACTTAGGATGGCTTGTTTGTCGACAATTACAGAACTGTTGGAACAGTTTAAAGTTTTGTCGTAACAGATGAATCATGATTTGAATCAGTCATATGAGTTCAACTAGTTTATGTCACCTTGATTGTTTTTCTGATTAATTTCAAAATTGATGTCAGTGGTTTTTTATTGCACAGAATGAAGCTCAACTTATGGCTGAAACTCGCACAGGGACAGAGGAACAAATGCAGAAACTGAAGCTTGCAGAAGAAGAGCTGGCGCAGGTAAAATTGTCGTTATAGTCAGAATTGGAAGGAGCCTTGTCATATTACAAACAAAACTGTTACTAAAATTACCCAGTAGAGGTTCAGTATTGGTGTTATATGTTGATCTGCTATAAAATTTTTTATTTTCATAGTGTTAGGAAACTATAAATTATTTGTAAGGCTGTATAGAATGGTGAGAAGGAATGATTTGTTTAAATTCGACAAGTGGGGTTTATTTGGGCAACGTACAATACAAAAATGCGACTAGGAGCAATTAATGGGCTCTTTTAGTTACTGTCAGTAGTACATTGCCAGTAGGTAAAGTTCACACTTTTGATGATATGTTGAACACTATACAGCGAATGCAAATATGGCGTCCAATTTGAGTTTCCATTGTTCTGGACTGGCTAGCCTCTCACACATGTAATAATCCTTTTGTATTTCCTTGTGAAGACGAGGCTAGTCAGTCCAGAACAATGGCAATTCAAATTGGACGCCGTATTTGCATTCGTTGTATATATCTATTTTTCTTTTGATTATGTTAATTAAGGTTCGCCGCGCTTTGAGGAAAGCTGAGAAAGAACTAGAATATCAGTCATGGAAGGCACCAGCTGTTCTGAAACAATGGCTACAGATGACATTCGATAAGGAAACGAAACATTTCCAGCAGAAAAGAACTGTTGCTTTGAAACAAATGAAGGAAGCAAAAGAGGCGGTAAGAATTAAACTCTTTGGAATATTCTTTTGTGTTCACAATTAGCTAATGTATAGCTAAATAAACTGACACGTAATAAATAAATAAAGTTCATCCACATTTGAAGTTATTTTAATACTAAAATCTGATTTTTTAATGAAGATCTATTTTTTGTATTAAGTGTAACAACTCAATTGATTCTGTTCCAAGAGCATCTGGGTTGTCGACTGTCGTGAGACCATCTTTCTTTGCACTTAGGTAGCACGGAAAGCCGTAAAAATCTTGAACAAAAGCTCATCTTTCAAACTGGCAGTCTAAATCCCACAGGGATCAACGAACGCTTTTCATTCCACTAATTTATTCATGTTTTTCTTGTTACCATGTTCCCACCAATAACGTAGCGCCATTTTCTGCCTTTAAAAACACACACAACCCACAATTCCTCTATTCGCTCTGACGAAGGGCTAACGCTCGAAACGTCAGCTTTTGTAATCGTTACGGTGGCCAATTTACCATTTCAACTTTGTTGATAATTATATTCAAATTATTTCGTTACTCCCACCAATGCGGCCCCAAACAGTTTCTTTCTAAACTATCAGCCTTTTGTCATCAGACCTGTTCAATAGTAATAATCATCAACAATAAATTATGAAGACTGCAGTTTATTATTTTATCAATTTAGCTGTCTTTGTTTTGTGTAACTTAGTGTGAGAGAATAAAGAAGAAACGCAATAGCTTGATGGGATCCCTTCGTCTGGCCCATGATTTATCTATTGATGAAGTTGATCAGAAAATTCTTGGTGCCAGGTAAGTTTTGTTTCCCACCATTCTCTGGGGGATGTGTAATTTGCAGTTTCAGAAATTATACACACCCACACACCCCAAAACACTTGTCATTTTAAGGGAAAGGGGAGGTGGGTGCAAAATACAGGGGGAAGTTTGAAGCAAAGCTGAAATTTAATGAAGGGTGGTAGATTAATTAAAGCAAAACAGAAGCTTCTACAGGGTTTTCCTGCTAGGCTGCAAATTGAATTAAACTGTACTTAGTTCTTATTATCCAAGTGGGAGATCTGTACGGGAGAATCTTGACCGAGGTTGCCAGTACAGACCGAATGCAGTGAGGTCTGTATAACAACCGAGGTCAAGATTCTCCCATACAGACTGACCTAGCTCAGTTAATAAGATGTTTATTATATGGCTGTCTTATGTGCCAATTTTTTATATTCTTTGTACCTTTTTTTTCTAGAGCGGTCTAGATGCCGGTCTAGATGGGAAAATCTAGACTGCTTTCCATATTGATTTCAGCCAATCAAATTCGTGAATTCGGTTAAGTTCCCAGTCCTTGTGAGACACAGCCATATAATAATAAGTAACAGTGACGATATACCTGCTACTGTTTGTGTGGTCCAAGACTATTTTGTCTGTCTGCCTGAAAATTTTCAGTCCTCATCAACACCTTCAATGAGTTGTGTTTAATTGTTTTTTTCTCATCCCTCACTTATTTGATTTATTAATATTTATCTATTTGATTATATATTATTTATGAATTTTTAATTGGTGTCATTTATTTATTAAATATTAGATCAGCACTTGCTGAAGTCACAAATGAGCTTGAGGAGAGGCAGCACAGATGGTCACAGATAGAATCACTTTGTGGATTCCAGATCATGTCACAGACATCCTTTGGTATAGGGAAAGGAAGTGGCAGTCAAACCAACTCAGGTTCAGCCATAGCAGAAGCTCTTGTCAATGTGGCTAATGTGGCAGGGGTCAGTTCTGGAAGAAAGATCTCCTCTAGTGCTAGTCCTTGGAAATCACCATCTGTTCCTGAAACAGCAGATAGCAAAGAAGACCTTCCTCCAACATACTCTGCTGCTACTGCTTATGGCAGTGTGCATGATGTGCAGAAAGAGCCCTGTAATGATATAGCAAACTTAACTGGCCAAGAAAATGATTCTGGAGGAAGTACTAAAGGTGTGACAAGGCATGCTGAAAAGGATGTTGTGCAAATGAGAGAGAAAACATCTTCTGATATAAGTAAAAGGCATCCAAGTCTTCATCTGGGAGCACAAGCCATGACAATTGGTGTAACAAAATCAGAAGTTTCAGCCAAATCTTTAGAGCAGTTGTCAGCATCTTGTGGGAAATTAGAGCAAGATGAACAAATTTCAAATGGCTTGCCTGACTCACCAACTGGAAAATCCAAAAAGAGACTGAGCTGGTTTGGAAAGAGGCAAGACTCCACTACTGAAAGTGAATCATCAGCAGCTGAAAATGACGACGAAAAAAGGAGAAAAGTAAGGTGGCTGTGGAGGTCAGCAGTTCGTAAGTCAAAATCACAGAGAAACCCAACAATCAAATCAAATAATAGTGCAACTATGGCTACATCACTGGAAAAGTTAAAATCAGGGTGAAACCTAACAAGTTTCACTCATCTGGTCAGCTACCCGGTTTGTTCTGGCAAGCTCTAGTTTGGCAGTGATCAGTTCCAAACACAGTTTAGTTTATTCAAAACAACTGTAGATTGTCTGCCATCCATGAGTGAACAGGACTGTTACTGTTCTTTTTTTTTTTTTTTTGCTTGGTTGTGGGCTATTAACCTTGATGCTGTGGTAATGTGAGGAACATGTAATATGTTCAATGTAGTACTCAGGAAAAAAAAAGTGTTGAGAGGAAAGATAACTTTCTCAAGTTCAGTGCTGTTGCTGTTTTTTCCTTTTTAGGGAAGAGGATAATTTCATATGTAAAGGTTAAGAAATGAAAATGTTTAGAGTCCTGTTTGGTGTTTATCAATTTTATTATTAACATTTGTATTATTAAATAATGGTGTTATGATGAGGCATCACATTTACTAGAAAGAACAATTATAGTGGCTGCTGCTTTTAAAGGTGGCTTATTTGATTTTTATGGTGTACAGATGTATACTGGAACAAAAGGTGTTTATTAGTTTAACAGAAAAAGTAATCTATTGTATAGTTTGGGTGCACATTATTTTCTTTGATCAAAAAACTTTTAGGATTATTCTGACTTATTGGGACATGGTTAAAATATTTTCTCAATTCACAAGCTTGAACAGGTTACATATGAATATGTTTGATATTGTTGTATTTTTTGGTAATTTTTTCAAACTGATTCCATCATGTCTGGATCTCAGGTTCAGAATCCTATCATAAACAAATCAAATTTTAACTTCAGTAGATGAAGGAAAAAGTCAATTGGTTTCTTCTCTTCCCTCTTTTTACCTTGTTAGACAGAAATCCTCACTGGACATTGAGCAGTGAAAAAAATATCAGCAATGATCAGTAATAGAACTTGTTACACAACTTGGGCAGAGGGCCAATAACTAAAATCAACCAATCAAAATGCTCTATTGCCGGTCCAATATTCTCTCAGTATTGAACCGGGCACTGTCCCGAATGGTCCCGAATGATACCACACTTGTGTCCCTTTGAACTTCAGTCATATAATAAATCTCTTATTAACCAAGCTTGCTCGGGACCGTACTGGAAGAATATCAGCCCTCGGTCTTTTTTGTACGGACCTCACCACGCTCGATCCATTCTGTTAAGACCTCTGGCCGATATCCTCCCAGTACGGCCCTCGCACTTGGTTAATAAGATATATATAATAGTTAGAAATACTGAATCGGCAAATATGTTCAGTTTCTTCTCAGTGAACCAGAATATGGGAATCTCTCTATTGTGGAGTATCAGTGTAGGCCCCTGTGGCTCAAAACATCTTTTTTTAAATCCAAAGAAAAAAATTACATTGTAGTTGTTATGCAAAGAGATAAACCCACGGTATTTTACTGAGTCAGTGTTTGTTGAATATAATTTAGAGGTCATAATGGTGCTCTTATTCATGGTTTATGGTGGAGGGAATTTATTTGATGTATTTTCTCAATGGAGGGGGGTTAATCTTTCTTAGATCTTTGGGAAGTAAGCTTTATCACTGAAAAAGTGTCGGCTTTCTTCTCTGGACCATGTAACCTGAAACATTTTCGGTTTAAATTTTGTGGAATTTGTGGATAGTTTTCAATCCATTGTCCATGTGATGCCAACTGGAAAAAAAGTCTTGCATTTTAAGATGTTGCAACATTTTGGTACTGTACTCAAATGAAAAACACAGCAGGGAATCATATGTTATTTCTCATTCATAGTAATCAAACTCACAGAAAATAGGTACCTATGAATCATCTGTTGTTTAACTCTCTTCTGTAAACTTTCCTTTCTTGTTAATTAAATGTTTTGTTGAATTGAAAGGCAAAAATTTGACGCAGAAAAACACAGTTCTCAATCTGCAAAAGACAACTTCCCCAAAGTATTCATGTTACAATAGGGTTTGTTACCATAATAGTTTTCACAAGTATAAAGTATTTAGAATGGAATACTGCTGGGCAACCAGAGAAGCATTAGCCTCTACAAATTAAAGAAAAAACATGTTACATAGGGAAATCACTTGTCTATTTGTTGACTATTATTTCATTATATTTCATTATATCAAATAATTTTTCTAGAAGACATGATTTTCAAATTTGTTAGCAGTTCTACTCTGTTCAGTTCCCTTGCTATATTGTTTAATTCAAGAATAGTTTTCAATCAAAATACTAACAAGATTTAACAGAAGTTTGTCTTAAATTATTGAGCAGGCATCTTGGAATCATGTCATTTGAAGTCATGTAAGATTGTCCTATGGGAGTGATTCATTTTCTGTTTCTGGTATCTTTTCAGTTTATTTTTTCCCTTAATTTTAAGTGTGCTTGTACAAGTATTTTTACTCATAACATACAAGGAAATCAGAGTTGTACCGGTAATTTACTTTTTTTAATTTCCCTTTAATACTGTTGGCACATTCTATGACAAATTGTTTACATGAGAGGAATGTTTTGAAGCAAAAATAATGAATTTTTAAAATGACCCTTAATTCTGTAGCAAAAGCTATTTTATCAAAGAGAAGATCAACCTACATGTAATGAATGGGGGGGGGTGGGGGTGGGAATGGAAGGGGTTGGTTTTGGGTGTGCAACCGATAAAACTGTTGTCATATAGCAATTTGTGTAATTCATTTGCTTAAGGTGTAGGTTTCTTAGCTTTTTTAAATGAGAACATTATACATGATCATCTGTACTATAAGGTGTGTTGGTTTCAATAAAGCCATCGATATTTTGGAATGTTTATTATCAATAGAAATGTGAAAAGTTCTCAAGATAAGGGTTGTCATTGTTACTTATCATCATTGTTGTCAAATGTAAAAATTACCAGTAGTGACACACATCACTCCTATTTTCTTTACATTTAACAATAATGGCTTGAAGCCATCAACTTGTCGTGTAATATTGTTTGATTGTTAAATTTTCCCTTAGAAATGTTTGATATTTTCCTTGTGAAAAGAGGAAAACAATATCTTAAAAGTCGAATTCATCAAGTGTAAAACTTTCTCTCCCACCTTAGGGGATTAATCAGTAATATTTTTCTAGAGGATTAATGGTAATTTGTCACCCTAGTTTCCTTTGGTTGGGACTTGGAAATTGGACTTTGAAATTTTTATCATTGAAATGGCAAAACATTCCTCTGATTACATCACTTTGAAGAACTAATAAGAGTAACTGGTCTCTTCCTTCTATGCTAACAGTGTTTATCCAGACCTGATAAAAATTACAAAATTAATACAGTAATTCTTTTTTCCTTTTAATAATTTGAATAATTTCATAGTTTTCAATAATCTGCTGCATTGGGCCAACTGTTCAGGCCTTAACATAGTTATGTTTTACCTAGTTTATTGGGAACTCTACAGTCTTCCATTTATTTAACACACTGTGAACTATTTTGGAACAAAGAAACCATTTGACTTCTTCATAACTTATATATCAGGTCATTAAGGAACCTGTCACTTTCCTAAGCACTAGCTACCCCAATGTAGGAGCAGGGTTTTCCAGCCTTCTTGATTGTCTCCAACAACTCATCAGATGACGATGTAGAATTCACGTAGACACGCTGCTTGTCCATGTCAATTTCAACATCCTTTTCTCCTGGTGAAAAACAATTTGTACAATGTCAGTGGGTATAAAGAGGAACGTGTGAAGTGCTAGCCTGAAATAAATAAACTGGACATACTATATCAAAGAAGTAACTGTTGAAACTTAAATTAAATGGAACAAAAAACAGCTACCAAGGAAAACCAACCCCTCTAGGAACAACTTTGGTATGCAAAAAATACTCATCAGTCCAGTGATATTTAAATATGCCAAATGACAAACCCTGAAAACATCGCCTTCCTGCCTAAATCCTCTGATTGCAAAGCTAACAAACAAATGTAAGGGGATTTGGAAAGGTAGCAGCCAAAGAAAGGTTGGACTAAACGCTCATTCAGTTCTACTGTTGACAATCTCAGTGATATTATCTGCTTCTCTTCGATGAAATTACATTCTACTTGTAAAGATTAAGGAGACTTGGGAAAAATTTGACCCAGGTCCATACCTTTCTTGTTCAGCACACGAGTGACAGCCCCTGAACAACCCTCACAGGTCATTTCCACTTGAAATTCATGACGCTAAAGCAGTGAGAGTGAGTCAAAAGGAGAATATTTTCACTCCGTGATATCCTTACCACAATCAGAGAAGCCCCTCTGGTTGCCAAGCAACCAGGTATTCCAAAGAGGTAAAGATGTTCTCTTTCTCACTTACAAATAGACCTCTTTAACTTGTTTCATTTTTACCCATTTCAAGTCATAGGATAATACTCAAGAGAACTGTTTCCTTCAAATCTCTCATTCAGGCACATATGCATGCATAATTTACAAAAGATAACGCTGGGAAATTCCCTTAACACCAGGTCCATATTGTGATTATATCTTATCAGACGTTTTGGTTTGTAGTGTCGCTGAGCATTTTTACGAGTCGTGCCTTACTAGCTTGGACGAGCACGCAGGGCAAGTAAAAATACATATAACAATCTACCCTGTACCGCAATCAGCTTCAATCAATGGCTTTCAGGAATAGAGTAAGTCTGTGCTAATTTTTAGAATATAAAAGCAAGCTAAGCCAAATTTAATTATATCTTCATTGAAATAATATGCAATTTTTCATTAAAATAATTACAGGGGGCCCACACAAGCGGCATGTCTGGTCGTTTGTTCGAAATATAAGGAAATGTACGGGAGAATATTGAAGAGTCGTAATATCGTGAACTTATATCGAGGAATGTCTATGTCAAGGCTCAAAATAAATGTAAACCTACCTCACTTGCCGTGTATTGTCGTTTCTGTGGTTCTAAACGGCGAATTTGAGCGATTTGGTTGATTCTGCCCTGAGTGTTACTTCTTGTATATCACTCAAAGCAGAATCTACCAAATCGCTCAAATTCGCCATTTAGAACCACAGAAACGACAATACACGGGAAGTGAGGTAGGTTTACACTTATTTTGAGCCTTGACATAGACATTCCTCGATATAAGTTTACGATATTTCGACTCTTCAATATTCTCCCATACATTTCCTTATATTTCGAACAAACGACCAGACACGCCGCTTGCGTAGGCCCCCTGTGAAATAATACGCAATTCTGCCTGGAGTTGAACCTGGTGAGTAATTCTGCTATACGGCACTTTCATTTATCCAATCTTCACAGTAACTTAAGTTCGCCGTAGTTTTCCTACTCTAAACCAGAGAAATAGTAATTGAGAAAATATTGAGATCTACGGTGGGCACTTAATTGAAATTCCACGTTGCAAACGTATCGTCCATGGTGAGGAAAATATGTCGTTTTCGAATTAGGTTGAACATGATAGTTCTCTTCCTACTAGAAACTAAATTAGCGCAGTTATACTTACAACGCTAGCCATTTTCGTGTTGTGGAGGAACAGGTCCAACTTTCATGCACAAACGTAGATAAATTAGAATTCAGTGGGCCTTTGTAATGTCAATCGTTCCGAGCGCTGATGTAATAAGGAGAGAGGGGTGAGATATATTTTGTCATAATTTTTTTTTATTTATTCTTTTAATATTTTGAAATGGAGGCGAAAATGTGCATGCAACTGAGAATGCTTAAATATGCAGATTCGATGTGTGCTTGTGCTTCTCTTGAAAATGAAGATATCCATTTTTTATTCAACATCAACATGTGCAGCACGTGTTGATATTTATTGTCTTAGTAATTTCAACAGTCCCTCCCCCATCCCTCTACCCACTAGTAGCCACTCCACGCACAGGCGGCCCAGGCTCTGTCACAAGCTCTTTCACAGTGGATTATTATAGAGTTTGTATTTAACAATTATTCCACGAGCGCGCGTTGGATATGAGATGATAGACAGCCAACGAGGCGCGTAGCGCCGAGTTGGCTATAATCATCTCATATCCAACAAGCACGAGNTGAGTCTGTTACTTATTTGCTGAGATCCTCCGATAAATTTCCTTTCCTGACCGGCATCTTCGATAGCAGACACCCTTAGCACTCCATCTCCTGACTTAAGGTACCACAGATAGTACAACAAGGACATGTCTTCTGGTTCCGCGGCCATTGCATCGTGGTAGATTTGTATCATACGCTTTTTAGTATAATTTGTCCAACATTTCTTGTCAATGAATTCCTTTACAGTCATGCTATCCCATTCTAAGGCTTTTCGTGCCTTCCAGGGCTCATCAAGTGGAATTTCCTCACCCATTTTATCCAATGTCCTGATCATGTTGAAGTAGTCAAGAATCGCCAAGGGATTCCATGAAGACAGATCCCCTGAAAACAATCGCCTTCGTCCATCCAGGAGCTCCACAATACTTCCTTGGCTGTAAACTCTGTACGTTTCTATACCTAATTCTTTCGCTACCCGTAAAATTCTGTTTTGGGTTGGCCCGACGTACGCTCCACCGAGATCGACGTACTTAAACTTTGGGTCTTCCAAAGTGTTTGTTCTTCCTCCAACACGATTTCTTGCTTCCAAAACAACAACACTCACGCCATGTTCAAGGGCTAATAATTTAGCAGCACAAAGACCGCTTATTCCGCCACCGATAACAATGACATCGACAGGCTTCTCCATGTTGGACAGGTCAGCATCACCAAAACCACCTCGGTCGAGAGGGACTGAGATGAAATGATAGACACCTTATGACGTCCTATAAGACGTTATATCAAACAACAACAAACATATGAAACATATGTATGAACTGCGGTTATGTGCACGATCCTTCGCAGTAAAGCACTATTTGAGCAATAGTGAAAATCAGACCTGAAAAAAATTTCAGGCCTGTACGGGATTCGAACCACTGACCTCTGCGATACTAGTGCAGCACTCTACCAATTGAGCTAACAAGCCAACTGGGAGCAGGCCATCAAATTAATTCGACATAAACCCGTAGATGATAAATCAAACAACAACAAACATATGAAACATATGAAAATTTTTTTCAGGTCTGATTTTCACTATTGCTCAAATAGTGCTTTACTGCGAAGGATCGTGCACATAACCGCAGTTCATAACCGCATTTCATAACCGCAGTTCATACATATGTTTCATATGTTTGTTGTTGTTTGATATAACGTCTTATAGGACGTCATAAGGTGTCTATCATTTCATCTCAGTCCCTCTCGACCGAGGTGGTTTTGGTGATGCTGACCTGTCCAACATGGAGAAGCCTGTCGATGTCATTGTTATCGGTGGCGGAATAAGCGGTCTTTGTGCTGCTAAATTATTAGCCCTTGAACATGGCGTGAGTGTTGTTGTTTTGGAAGCAAGAAATCGTGTTGGAGGAAGAACAAACACTTTGGAAGACCCAAAGTTTAAGTACGTCGATCTCGGTGGAGCGTACGTCGGGCCAACCCAAAACAGAATTTTACGGGTAGCGAAAGAATTAGGTATAGAAACGTACAGAGTTTACAGCCAAGGAAGTATTGTGGAGCTCCTGGATGGACGAAGGCGATTGTTTTCAGGGGATCTGTCTTCATGGAATCCCTTGGCGATTCTTGACTACTTCAACATGATCAGGACATTGGATAAAATGGGTGAGGAAATTCCACTTGATGAGCCCTGGAAGGCACGAAAAGCCTTAGAATGGGATAGCATGACTGTAAAGGAATTCATTGACAAGAAATGTTGGACAAATTATACTAAAAAGCGTATGATACAAATCTACCACGATGCAATGGCCGCGGAACCAGAAGACATGTCCTTGTTGTACTATCTGTGGTACCTTAAGTCAGGAGATGGAGTGCTAAGGGTGTCTGCTATCGAAGATGCCGGTCAGGAAAGGAAATTTATCGGAGGATCTCAGCAAATAAGTAACAGACTCAAAGACAGGCTTGGAGATAGGGTAATTTGCTTTTTTCTCGTACGCTTTGAGTGATTTGGAGGAGAACTTCTAACAATGCAGATGTTGTGAACGAAGTTCTCTCAAATTTTTCTTTATGTCTACTATTAATTAGTAATCACATTTTATATATTCCGGAATGAATAAGCACTATCAACTCAAATGGCACTCACCTTATGGGCTTGTACAATTACATCATCTTGAAAAAAAAAAATTACACCATCATGTTTATTCCAAAATGCACTGTAAATCATGTGACTTTCTGTTCTTAAGATATTCCTTATGTTTTTAGGTCATTCTTAACAGCCCAGTGTGTTGCTTGTATCAAGATGCTGATCATGTGGCTGTTACCTGTGAAAATGGCAAGAAATACGAAGCCAAGTTTGTGATCAGTGCCATGCCCCAAGCTCTCTTGAATAGTGTGTCATTTGTTCCACCCCTCCCTCCCTTGAAAAATCAGTTGATTCAGAGGATCCCTATGGGCTCTGTTATTAAGACAGTCACATTTTATGAGAAGGCATTCTGGCGTGAAAAGGGATTGAATGGGGTGCTGATTTCAGACTCCAGCCCAGCTTACGTTACTGTTGACGATACTAAGCCTGATGGTTCATACCCAGCGATAATGAGGTGAAGTTGGTGAATGGGCCTGTTTTGGATATATTAAAATTAAGTCATTTCTATGTAATTTTACAGTCATATAAAAATATTTGGCTTTTTATTGTATCACAAACAGTATCCAAAACTCTTTAATGTTCACACGAAATTCAAGATGTTCATGTTGAATTAACATTTTTACTTTTCGAGTTCTAGTCTTTACAAGTCTTATGTGACCAAAGATGACATAATGTCTTGTTTTAGTCTGTTTTATGACTTTTATTGATCCATATCAAATCAAACTCCTGTCAAAACCACAGTCAAAACTTAACCACGGCCATTCGAAAGCAATACGTACATTTCCAGAACAGTACTTAATAGCTGGAAATTCATCACTCAAACCATAATGGTTCATGAATCACTTTTAACTCAGCTCTTAGTTCATGGGTCATGTTTAAATAAAAAAATTCATTCATGTGGATATGAAAAGATCTCACTATCTTCAGTCATGATCCACGAATAAAAAAAAAGTCAAATCACAATTCAATTCAATTCAGAAAAACCAATCGCCCAATCACGTCTTACATGAAAAGTACAGGGCACCCTTTTGCATAGCTCCAAGGTCAGGGGAAGACAAAAGAAATTAATGATTCATCCCTCAACCTTGATGTGATTTCTTTGCCTTTATTCCCCCAAGCCTTAGAGCCAAGTTCAAGAATGGCCCATTGAAAATGGATTCTTAAATACTTGTTAGAAAATCCAATCTTGATACTCAGTGTTCTCCTTTTTCAGGTGGTAACCAGTTATATTTAATGCCTGTAGTGCACATAATAATATTTATTGATTTGTACTAACCTCTTATTACCACTAAAGATCACTTAGAATTCTTGAAATTTCAACAAGTTAAAGTTTTTTCTACCGCTTTTAAAAAGTATTTTACCTGTTGTGCAATAAGGGAGAATGCTGAACACTTAGCTCAGTAGGTCGTTAGAGGATGTTAAATTGATATGTCAATGCATGTTGAACATTTCCAGTTTTATCATTGGAAGTCAAGCACGTTACTGGTGTTGCAAAACACAAGAAGAAAGGAAAAAAGCCCAATGTGAACAGTATGCCAAGGTGTTTGACAGTGATGAAGCTCTTCATCCTTATCATTATGTCGACAAGAACTGGCCAGCTGAGAAGTATTCTGGTGGATGCTATGTTAGTATTATGCCTTGTGGAGTTATTACAGGGTTTGGCAAAGCTCTGCGCGAGCCAGTTGGTAGAGTACACTTTGCTGGAACTGAAACTGCTACAATTTGGTCAGGTAAGAAAACCACGGAGGCATTTTCCTAAATTTCTAGACAGTGTTAAGGCTGTTATTATGCAGTTTAGTGTTGCTACGGTGAGTGATAGAATTTTATTGGTTCTCAGAGATCTCTAATAAAGGTATTTTTAAGAGAAAGAGGCTTTTTCGTCTTGTCACAAACTTTCTATAAATGAAAAAAATTCTGAATCCTAGCAAAGAGTCAAACCTCTTTAGGTTCTATTTTGCATAATGTTTTTCAAGGTATCTTTTGCACAATGTTGTGAAGTGTGTTTGTTCATTGTTATTATAATAGTGAGAAATGATAAGTGAATTTTTTATCATTTGTTCCACAACTGTGAGTCCCAATCAATTGTACACTTCAAAAATTGCCACTGTTTTTACTTTCTCCTCAGCTAAGTCTAGTCTCGAGGTTAGAGTCTTAAACTGACCTACAAGGACTCGCAGTATAGCAGTCCAAACATCTTGATGTTTGTGAGAAAAATGCTTCAACTTTCACTTAAACACGAAGGCGTGCTATATAAGGAAGTCTTCCCTGGGAAGACCTAGGCTCATTTGTCACTCACCGTTGACGTGTGCAGGTCAAATTTAAATGCTGGTAGATGAACAAAAGGAGCTAATGAGATATCTATTGTTTACTTTCACCAGCATGGTGGCATGAGGTAATGTGCAAACCACCTACTTCTAACTCAAATTTACTGCCACAAATAAAGACAGTTTACATTGAAGAAAGGAAATACAAATCTCAAATTCTTGTATTGTGATCAAGACAAAACAATTTTGAGGAATGCGCCCACTGTTCACTGCTTTGGAGTAGCTGTAGCTCATGCTGACTTGACTCTAAGAGTTCTACATCACACGATGGTTGATTGACAAATGATCCAGTGGGACTTAAGGCTCCTTTTATAGCGCGCCTTCGTGTTTAATGTATTTCCCTTTTTCAGTGGAGGCATGGTGGCCTCATGGTTGGTGCACTCGACTCCGGATCGAATGGTCCGGGTTCAAGCCCCAGCCAGGACATTGCGTTGCATTCTTAGGCAAGACACTTTACTCTCACAGTGCCTCTCTTCACCCAGCTGTATTAATGGGTACCGGCAATTTAATGCTGGGGGTAACCCTGCGATGGACTGGCATCCCATCCAGGGGGGAGTAGAAATACTCCTAGTCGCTTCATGCTACAGAAACCGGAGTTAAACACCAGCCTGATGGGCCACTAGGCTCATAAACAGACTTTACCCATTTCCCTTTTTCAGGATACATGGATGGTGCAGTCCAAGCAGGAGAGAGGGCTGCAAGAGAAGTGCTATTTGCTTTGGGTAAAATAGCAGAAGAGGAGATCCATCAAATTGAACCCCCTTCAAAAGATGTCCCTCCAGTTCTGTGTCAGCTGACAACATTTCAAAGCTGGCTACCTACTGTCCCAGTTTTTCTAACCACAGTCACAGCTGTTGCTGCTTTAGTGGGTGGTCTGTCACTAAAATATTTTTCTAAATGAGGAAATGAATCATATTATTAAACTGGGGTAGTGAGGAAAAAGAAAAAAAATTCAAATAAAAATAATTTAACTCTGAAATCCAGGTCAAATACCTACTGGGAGTAACTGGGGTAAGGAGAAAAAGGAAAATAATTTGTTTTTCAATTTTTTTAACCCTGAAATCGAAGTCAAATACCTAGATGTAATGTAACAAGATGATATACCAGTACTGATTGAGTAATGACCCAAGCAATATTTAAAAAATCATGCAACAATTTGTATAACAGCAGTAAATTGTATTTATTCTAACAACATATTCAATTCATACATTTTGATATTAATTACAAATAACTTATCCAGAAAAGTCATTTTAGAATTCTAGTTCTTAGCGTATTTATGATAACAGTACAGTCCAGCTAGCCGATATTGAATTTACAAATCCTAGAGGAAAGAAAGTCAGAAGTAACTTGCCACAAGCCATTGAGAACCTTCTTTACTTTTGATAATTTTGGTTTAATCCTTTATAATTTAGAAATGTTTCAAGTTGATTCCTGAGATTTGGTCTACCAAGGAAAGCAAGGGTCCTTGCAAAATCTAATGTATGTCTCCACTTTGCCAGTGCTGGCTTGCATCAGTGTTGTGTATGTTGTCAACTGCAGGGAGAAAATTTAAATATTACATCGCTGTTTATAACTCAATTAATAATGCATATCATTAATAAAACCAGCCTAACCACCACCATACTGGAAACACAAGCAGTTTGAAAAAAATATGACATTAAATATGACTTTGTTAGGTGCAGAGTTTGAAGTATCAGTTGTGAAACTGAACAGAGCACCAGCCAGAAACATGCTGGCAGACAAGAAATCCTGAGCATCCCCTTCAACAACAATCCCCTCAAAATATCTCCTGATGCCCTTTCCAACATTAAGTAAACTTTTGTTTAAAGTGGTCCAACTATGTTCCTCCTAGTTCTTTTTTTTTTTTACTTTTGCTTACCTTGTTTAAGACAGGTTGGGTGGAGAGAACATTATACAAGCCTTTAAATGACACAGCCTGTTGAATTAAAGTGGAAATATTTAACATGTTTGCTGATTTTATCTCAATAACAAAAGGATGTGCTCACAAAGTTTAATTCAAAACAAACCTCTTGTCCCATTTTGTTCATGCATGCTTTCCCCTGAAACAAAACAAACAAACTAATTAAAAGTAAGCAGAATTATGTTATTAACCAGTATGAGAATTTTTCACCAACCAAGATCAATAACTTTTAGAAAGACCCTACAAATTGCACACTTCATTGTAGCCTGCAACAGTTGTAAATTAAGTAGCAGTCATGAATACTTCTTTTAAGTTCAGTGACCTTTTTCCTTTTCACTGCAATCAAATGACTTACCGGAGTTCTCCTGTCATCAATTACCAGCGGAGGTTCCCAGTTGTCATAATTTGTCTCCAGAACAAACCAAGTGTTATTTGCTGGATTAAGACTGAAAAGACATGAATTTAAAAAAAAATCTATCTCACTGGAGGTTTTACATTGGAAAATTTAAATACCACATCAACTTGCAAAATTATTGTAACCAGTGAGTTATCTAGCATGCAGGTACTGTACCTCATTTGGTTTAAGCATTTAGTGCGTGAACGTGTAATCACAACTCCCTAAAACAAGGAAATGAGAGCACAGAAACTTCATCAGCAAACTATATACATCCAACCACAGGATAGCCTTGAGAATGAGCAGATTCTTCATGCCATTGTGCCTGTCACTATGTGTAGTATATAGGATGCCAACGAGCATGAAATATGCGCAATGTAATGTGAGGCGTGATGGTGTGATGTAATACCCTTGAGACCTGCATATATATAGCACATGTTTAATTATTTAGTTAGTTCTCCTAGGTACATGAATAAAACTGATTTCATTTTAACCGCTGTGTACTACACTATGGACCTTGTTAAACAGCATAGCCTGCCAGGAGTCTCCTATAGCTCCATGGTAGAGCATCCCTAGTATTAATTGAAAGGTTGTAGGTTGGACTCCCATTGGGAGCACTAGTAGTTCCTCTTGTCTAAGTATGTCTGTGTCTTTCCCTTAATAACACAAGAGACTGCTAGCAGGCTAAAAAGACACTGGAGACAGGTATTACAGGCAGTAAAAGACTGGTGCTAACCAGCTCTTATTGAAACCCCTGATATGTACCAAGAATTATCACAGCCAATGATATGACATCACCTCTCCTGACTTTGTTCCCCCGAGTATGTAGTAAACTGGAGCTAATACTTCATCATTTGCCAACATGTCATGTGCTTCCTTGAAACTGAAAAAAAAATGATAATGATGATGATTGATGATCACAGTTTATTAGCATTCCATGGGACACATGGCTCTTCTATACTACAAACTAACTAAATTAACAATGATTCTTATAATTCAAATGTACTTAATAATGAATAAAAATATTATTTCCCATAGAATTATGAATGAAAAAAATAGAGAATTAAGTCACAGACTTGATTTGCTAAGGGATAAGTAATGTTTACCAATTCAGAATTATTTAGTAAGACCATAGAGCCTCAGTGATGGCAGAAATAAATTTTACAAGACCACATTACCTTGATGCACTTTCAAGCACATCACGAGTCAGGAAACTTGACCATTTCACATTCCTCATACCAAGTATCCACTCAATAATCCCTGAAAATCACAAAGTTTTTCATGAGTTATTACAGATAACTTTTGAGTATACATCATTAATTTTTTCAATTTTTTTTTATTTCTAAAATTGAAATAAACTTGATTAATATATATATTATATATATATTGTATATTATATATATATTATATATATATATATTATATATATAATATATATATATATATATTATATATATATTGATTAATATATATATATATACATCATCTGACTTAGATTAGGCCTCATAGCTATTAAAAGGATGACTACCTGGCTCTGTTAATTAATTTTACTGTCTCACCAATGTAACCTCCATTGATGTTGAATCTTTCATTTAGAGTAAGTGTGAAGACTCCCTAGAAAATCAACAAGCCTTGGTGTAAATTATATCTATTTGTTTTTAAACCAAGGGATTAAAAATCTGTCAACTGACAAATTTAAAAATGAAACACAAACAGAACACAATGAACAAAAGGTTAAGCACATGGAAAACTTGAGTAAGCTTTAATTAAATTTCTCATATGGGACAATCAATTTTCATAGACCTTTTTGGAGTGAAAAAAATAACCACAAAGAAAGAGGACCATTCAATGCTCTTGAAATTGCCAGAGGTGCTGACAACCTTTAAAATCTAGTTTGAGAGGGGTTCAGCATAAACTTCCAAACTTGGTAAGAAGAGCATCTTTCTGTTGCCCGTGTTGTAGTTTTTGAGGGATGTACCAGTCCTCAGAATTTTCTAAAGGAGGCGGGTCAGTCCTGATTATTCAGTTGGGAGGAGTATCTGGGGCTCAGGAAATCCATTTTGGAGCTCAGGAAGGGAGCAGTTCTGGAAATCCAGAAGTATGACAAGAAGAGGGATTAAAATGTCAGGCCAATAGTTGGTGGATATTCATTCTATTAGGGAAAAACCAGATTTATCAAAATTGTCCTTTTATACAATCTGCCATTCATTGAAATCAAACTTCCCCTGAAAGCATTGGTAAACATCAACTTGAGTACAGTGTATATTATTTTGCAATTTGTTACAAGAAACAAACAGGTTAAGCTCGTCTTCCGACATTATTATTCAATAAATCTAACTATAAAAGATGAATGGCTTACCGGTTTTATTCCTGAAAGGACACCAACATATCCAGCAAAGCTGACTGTTTTGTAAACAGTTTTTCCACTTCTCTGACATTGTTTTCAGCCAAATTGAATAAAGAGTCAAATTTTAAACATAAAAAAAGAGAAGTATCCTATCAAAAAATGTAAACAAACCTTCTATTTGAAACTTAAAAGACAAAGTCTAGTTAGCTCAGTCTTTCAAACCAATAAAACACCTAGTCACAAGGGTCTGTAATTCCATAATATATAGATTTAGCCAAGCCTAAAAGCGGAGCTCCCAAGTTGGTGATATTAATGATAACAAAAGATGTGCATTTCCCAAGACTTGCCTGAGAAACCCCTCCCTTCGTTTTGATAGTCTCCCCTACCCTATCCATGCAATCCGAAGGCATGTACGTACGTACGTACGCTCGGTCAGTCACGTGACAACCAAACAAAAAGAGCTTGACCATATTCCATGGGTATGGAGCTCTGCCCCATGCACACTTTGCGCACGTGGGAGCCCCGCTATGAGCACTCCAAATAAACCAAATAAACCATTTAGAAATACATCTATCACCCCCTAACAATTCACTAGGAGCAAATCATTCACAGCAATCTGAAACTACAATAAATCTTTAAAATTTAAGTGTGATAATAACTATATAAAACAGTGGTATATTAACAATTTCTAACTTCTGATGCTGTGTAGCATTTCACATTACACTTGTGGAGTCAGGGATGTCTATGGGTCACTCCTGACTACAATAACTACAATATATGTTGTCTCACTAACCTGATAATCAATATTCACAATTAGGGTCCTAAGAATCTCAGACAGCATCCAGGTGTTATTCTTCTCATCCCAGCTGCAATTGCACAATACATAGCTTACATCACAAGCATATGGACATCAACAATAAAATGACTATAAAAACACTCAGGCAGCCACTGATCCCCATAGAGCTCTTGCTATCATTTACCAGTAAACTTACCCCAGAAATAGGCCAAAATCCAGATTACGTGCATGGAAAAGATTTCCTGAAAAAGTTGTAACAAGGGCATTAACAAATATTTATTACACGACTCGGGCAGTCAGAGGGCCAATAACTAAAATCAACCAATCAAAATGCTCTATTGCCGGTCAATATTCTCTAAGTATTGGACAGGGCACTGTCCTGAATGGTCCTGAATGATACCGCACTTGTATCCCTTTGAACTTCAGTCGTATAATAAATCTCTTATTAACCAAGCTTGCTCAGGACCATACCGGAAATTTATCGGCCCTCTGTCTTTTTTGTAGGGATCTCGCTGTGCTCATTCCATACTGTCAAGACCTCGGGCCAATATTCTCCCAGTACGGCCCTCACGCTTGGTTAATAAGATATATGTAACTGGTATGTACTATTTGCACATCACTTTTTGTGTCTTAAATTAAGGCTGCCAGGACATTCCTTGGCTATCACATTTTGGATTTCTTTATCTGTAAAAAGTTGTTTAATGAGTGTTTCAAGCTCTGCAAAGGTTCCAGATTACCTGTAACTGCATATACCGGTACTCCTCTACAACATTTTACTCGAGTGACACCCTTGTAACTATTGTTAAGTTAAATATTAAGTTTTAGTGAGAAATTATTGCAACCTCATGTGTTGTCACCTCATGTGCTGTTGCTAATAAGAGAGTCTATGCGAGTTTGTGCCATAGAGTTATCTGCGATAAAGTTATCTGCAATCATTTGCGACTTCTGGTGAATAAGGCATACAGAGAGGACAATCGGTAAGCGTATTTTTCTCTCCCCTTGTTGTTTTTGTTTATTATTTGATTAATTATTGTTAGGGGTCATGTGCTCGGCCTTTGTGTTGTTATGTAATAATTACTGTTTTAGTTTAGCTTCTTGTAATGTTGCTTAGACTAGGTTTTCTTGTTTGTGTTTTAGTTTGACGTGTTTTGATATCAGATTAATTGTATTGGAATCACAGTTATACCGGTCTGGTGTCAGATTTAGTACCTCGATGTCCTCTATGCGATAAACGCCTACAATTACAACCCTTTCCATACTTCCCCAGACCATTCTCCCCTTCCCTCCCTAAATCTATGTCTTCTCCCTCTCTCTCTCTCTCTCTTCCCTTCATCAATTTCTCGTCCCCTCTCTCCCTTGCATTAATTCCAGTCTCCCATTGTTTCCTTCTCACCCCTTCCTCTCTTGAAACTTAATTCTAATCAGAAATTTCAGTGACTTCTTGTTCTACCAAAATGACAAGGAGACCAGAAATCAAGGTTTTTACCAACAAGATTGTGTTTAGCTTCTAACAAAAAAAAATTAAATATTTTCAAGTTTCTTATAATTCTTCATTCTCACATGATACCATTTCAAGATTTCCTTACCTGACTTGTCCTCAGCAACTATAGATGTACAAACTGTAAAAACTTCATAGAAGATATTGTACAAAACAATCTCACCTAAGAACCAAACAAAAAGCTCCAAATAAGTATTTAAAGAATAGTAATACTTGTACTCACTGATGACACAAAAGTTTAGAGAAATGGAGTGAGATTTAATAAATGGATTGATTTGGTTGTGAAGTTTCATCATATGTTAGATGTACCGGTAACTATTATTGACAAAAACTAACATTGAAAGCCACATTTAACTGAATCATAATGATTATAACTAAACATTGAACATGTTCCTCTAACAGAGTTGCAGCCATTGGAAAAATCCTTAGCTTTACCAATGCAGAGATGGAAAACAAAGAAATGGTGGCAAGGACAAGGTACTTGTATTAACAGGATGGTAATCTGCAAACATGGTCCCATTGTTAACCACTTCACATGCAGTCAGTTAATTTCTTACCAAGAGGAATGCTGGTGGCACTGGCCAATCCTTTAATCTCTCTTCCATAGGGATCTGGAAGAGTTTCTGCAAGAGGAACCTACAATAGTGATCAGAAAAAAAATGCTTCTATAAATTAATACTTACAGTAATGTCAACAAACAATTTGAACCAAAGCTGGTTGGTTCTGCACTTGTAAGAGTAAAGAATTGGTTCAAACGTTTCAATGCTGCTGCGATGGGAAACTTAACTCTTAATTTTCCAATCACTTGAAAATTATGACATAGCAACATTGTGGCATCATGTAAAACTTTTTCAATGCTATTTGTCCCTGGAACCAGTACAAAAAAAAAAACTTCCAATGCCAACAGTTTTACTAGTTACATATGATGCACGATACTCGCAGTAGATAGCGCTATTTAAGCAATAGCGATAATCAGACCGAAAAAAATCAGGCCTGTACGGGATTCGAACCACTGACCTCTGCGATACTAGTGCAGCACTCTACCAATTGAGCTAACAAGCGAACTGGGAGCAGGCCGTTAAGTTGATTTGTAATAAGCCCGTGAAAGTGATAAATGAGATACAATGAAATAGATGAAGTTCATATATTTTGTACTGCGGTATTAGATACATGTGATGCATGATCCTCACAGTACTGTGAGGATCGTGCGTCATATGTATCTAAGACCGCAGTACAAAATATATGAACTTCATATATTTCATTGTATCTCAGTTTTACTAGTTTTACACCATTACAAGTCAAACAAATAAAATGATGAAGCAAATAAATGTAACTTAACCATTTACACCCAAATATCAGTTATAAAGCATATTCTCCATGCTATTCTCTACACATTTCCTAAAATGCTGAAAAGGAGAATTTGTGGAAAGAAGACCATAATTTTATAACCCCATAAATTAATTATGCATTCCACTTCTTTGTCTTTCACGACAAAACTTTAAAAACAAAGTCTACTAGTCTGAATGCATAATTATTGTATGGGGTTATATGGTACTCTCCCCGAATTTGTTAAACAATCAAGAGTTTCTTGGGTGCATGATCGTTTCTTTTATAGTCGTGACCTTGATGTGTTTTTCAGGAGTAACATTGTATGGAGCAATTAGATGGTAGCAGGGCTCAACACCTAAGATAGCCCACTTAAGCCACAGACTCGTAGAAATTCAGTTTTGGCAAGTGGTTTTTGATTTCCACTGGCCAGTTTGGCTAGTAAACAAGCTGAAATTGTCGTAACATCCAAGATGTCACTTGCCATTTGGCTAGTAAGTTGAAGAGTTAGTGTCGAGCTCTGTACTAGTCACTCTTGGGAGTTTCAGGATTATAACATTAGCATTTATTTAGTACCAATAGACACACCAAATATTTGTCAATAAACCCAAACAGCTTTCCATCCAGGATAAAACTTGTGAAGTTTTTGATATAGTGGAGCAAGTTATTCAGCTATAAAATGAAATGAAAAAGAACAAAGCCGTTATAATATATATGTTGTAGTTAAAATTTTTCCATAGGTAATTTTTTTTAACTAGGTAAATATATTTTTTAACTAGGTATTTTCTATTTTAACCAGGTAATTCTTACTCAGTCAACTGTCTAAAAAAGGGCCTTCATTTTTTGGGGGGTGGATGAAAAATAGGGGCCTCATATTTTTAGGGGGTTCTTAAAAGATAGAGAGGAATATTAAGAAAATTAACTATATCACTTTTGCATTCCTTTCTTGGTCCCTTTTCCCTTCTATCCACCTCTACTCTTTCACTATCTCACAATTCTGCTTATTAAATACTAAGTTCCATCTATATTAAACTTCATTGAGAATAAATAAGCATTACTTACCCTCTGCGTATTGAACCTACAACCTTCGTAGCAGATTAGATTTCCTATCCATCACACTCTTCTCTAGACCACACAGTCCTTGTTCTAAATACTCACTTTTTTCTTCTATTTATTCTTTCTTTGGTACCAGACTCACCTCGGTCAAAATTTAATTTGTGCAAAATGTGCACACACAGGCGCACTTGTATGAAAATGGGAATTGTTCATTGAAAGCGAAGAAAGCGATGGAGGGTGTGCCGTTTTGTGTCGCTAAAGATACGTTTTATGAAAAGTTAGATGCCCTTAAAGGCTCCAAAAAAAGTAACAGTAAATTGACTGTCTTCATAGATGATGAATTTTACGAGAATGCGAAGAACTGGCTCAAAAATGAACCCAAGAATCACAAGCAGTTTGGACTAACAGAGACAGATGTAGGGATGATTAAGTGAAAGTAGTGGACCATTCAAAATGACAACATCTTGTCCAAGGACCAAAAAATTGTAGTACCTAAAAGCCAACTTCACGGCATTTTATCCCAAGCTCATTCTTCAACCGCACACCGCGGGAGAGATAAAACTGAAAAATTTGTAAATAGAACATATGCAGAAATATCTCAACATGTTGTAACACTATTTGTCGGTCTGTGCCATCTACACAAACAACAAAAAAGTGTAACAGACCATTTGAAGCAGCCAATAACGAAACCAATACAGGTAAGTAATTTTCTGGCACACATACAGTTGGATTTGATAGACTTTCGAAATTTGAATTGTTCTTGTGGGAAAAAACCACAGCTGGCTTTTACATGCAACTGATCATTACAGCAAGTTCTCCTGGCTTTTTCCTCTGTCACATAAAACCAGTGAGGAAGTATTAGAAGCAGTCACACAACTCTTTTGGCAGGTTGACTTTCCTAAAAAGCTTCACACAGATAATGGAAGAGAATTCAAGAATAAGAACATGATAGACTTTTGCAATAAACATAAAATTGACCTAGTTCATGGAGCTCCAAGAACTCCACAAATGCAGGGACTAGTTGAAAGAAACAACAGAACCATTAAGGAAAACTTAGCAAACATCCTTAAGGAGAAACAAGTCAGCTTGAATACCCGGTGCAGATTTGTTGGAGAGGCTGCCTATAAGAGAAATGTCACAATACACAGAGCAACTTCAGAATGCCCATATGAACTTGTCTTCGGCATTCTTCCCCATAGAAGCATGCCAACAACACCATCACCACAACAATGTTCCTCTAAGGAAGCAGATAGACAACAAGAAGGTGAAGATGAAAATGAATGTGCAGAGAACACAATTTGAAACAGAAGTTGAGGAGCCTACCGAGTCTCAGACATAAACAATCCTACCTCCAAAAGAAAAGCTGAAGAAAGTTCATCTCAAAACAGAAAACAAATAAAAACCCAAACAAATCAAAGACAAAATAAATACAATGGAAAAATGAAATCCGCAAGACCGAGTGTAAAGAAATTTGAAGTCAATGATTATGTCTGTGTCAAAACTGATAAGATTGATAAAAGTACTGCACTTCATCCCAATGTTCTATTTGGGAAAATAGTTGAAATGGAAAACACATATGCAAGAATAGCAACCAAATTTGGTTTAATAACAACTCTCATTTCCCCCTCAAGATTGACAAAATGCTCGAGCCCAAATATTGTTTTTGAAACTACTACAGAATTAACCTTTACAGCAGCATGTAAAATGGCAATGGAACAATAGCCAATAAAACTGCTTTCAAGTTTATTTTTATATTTGTTGTGTTTTAATAGTAACAACAAACCATCTTATTTTTTTTTTCAAAACTTGTCTTCCTTTTTTCTGTTCTTCAATCTGCTAGTACATCTGAACCCTAACCCTGACCCTAACCCTAACCCTAACACCTTATCCCTAACCCCAAACCTATCCTTAACTTTAACCCTTAAACCTAACCTAGATCTAATCCTCTGATTGACTAACTGACAGAATCAGGCTAATTGCAGTGAAGATCTTGCTCTCTCAGATTGTTATATCCTTATCTTGACAAAACTCAATATCTATCATTGTTATCAATAAAAAAAGAGGTAGTTGCCCCATAGCAAGTGAAGAAAATATTGTGGTGCAAAATTACCCAGGTTAAAAAATTGTACCTAGTGAAAAATTAAATTTACCTTAGGAAAAAAATTACCTGCAACATAAACTGCTGATATTTACTAAAAATCTCTTCACAGAATGTTTCCTTCAGCTTCCCTTACCTCATCTATCTTCTTGCTGACAAGATCGTTGTATCTTTGTTCAGGTGGCAGGTCAAGATTTACAACTTCCCAAGGAACCTCCCTGAAAGAATGAAAATCAATTAGCAACTAGAACAATTTACTACCTCTACAAACAGAGGGAAAACCAGCACAAAGAGCAAACCCACATTTTTTTCACCACTACAAGATAGCAAATGATACTAAGGGCTGTGGCTAAGAAATTACACTGCTGGTGGAATTTTAAGTGAGAACACTCAAAGGTGCTGCAACCTCAGAAGTGCCAATTGTGCTTTACATTTAGACGTACACCATTTTGTATACATCTGAATGGAAATTGATTGTTTCAATGTCGCACTTATGGCATTCAATACGCTTCAGTTTGCTTTAATTCTATTTAATTTTTAGCTGTATTTGATTTAATTAAGTAGTATTTTATTTTACACGACCCCACAAGCTTTAAGCTTTCATACATATTGTGTATAAATAAACATAACCAACCAGCCAAGCAATTTGGCAAATTTTGCCGGCAGCCGGCACTTAGCAACAACCTTAGATAATTTGAATTGTTCTACAGTCAATGTTTTCTTAATATCACTTATTGGCCCTACCCAAGAAGGCTCAGCTACGCACCACACAAAATTCAATTAAGGTGTCCCATTCCCTGATTGAGTAATAATCATGGTATTTTTCACTAAAGGAGGAAGTTAAACCGCACCTTTCACTTGGGGGGTAAGCATCAGTTACACAGTCCTGGTCTGAGAACTAAGAATAAAAAAAAAAGCATCAAACCAAGTCTAGAAATACATGTTGAGGTCAAGTCTGCAAAGAAAACAGACCAACAAAGCTTATCCCCCTTTTTAATTTACAAACCAGCTATGAGTTCTAACACTCCCCCTGAAAGAAATATGAGTCCATTGCAGCCAATTGTCAGAACTTTGGTCAGCCTTCCTTAAGACACATCACTGATTTATTTACACTCCTGCAAGTTTAGTGAAGAAAGGCGCCATCAAAATGACGTTTCTTAACCATACAATAATAGTAGCCATCGCCAAGGCTTAAACGTTACGCCTAGGTCTTCCACTATACGGTTTGTGTCTCCTAAAACTTCTATCTTGACCGTAATGTCTTCACGTAAGACGAAAATGGTGTGTTTCGAAAAACCTCATCGGCGAGAGGAAAGAAGGGTTCAGCTACAAACTTGAGCGAAGTTGGTAACTTAGATTAAGCACTAAGTGTAAAAAAACACACAGACAACGTAACAAGGTGCATGATTTGGCAAAGTCTCCACCTACCTTTGATAAATGCTCTAAAAATGGATGTCTTACGACCTGAAAAAAAAGTTCGACTAGTAAAATAGGTAAACCTGCATGCAACAGTAAATCAAATGGACGGACAGTGAGGCATAAACGCTTAATAACGGAACAACCCTAGAACTTAAAACTTGACACTTGATGATGCACTCTCTTTCCCAATCTTTCATTCCTTAGCCTTCGCTCAGACCTTGACAATTACTGTTTGAATTTTACTTGACTACTCAATAATAAGGAAAAATTTCGAAATAGCTATCGAAGCTTCGAAAGTGAAGGAAAATTCACTGAGTTGCGTTCTGAAACAACCTAGTAAACCACCCTAAAAGACTCCGTAAGAATGCCGTGAAAGCTATGCTCAAAAATGTCTGATCTGTTAACAATATACATGACATCAACTTCTCAGTCGTTGTTTTTCTTTACCGTTGCAGACGAAAATGATCCGAAGCACAGCAAACATACGAACACAACCCACGATGTAGCTTCCATAGTTACTTTCGACCCGTACTAGCGCTGCGTGTAACTTGCTGAAACTTTTGTGAACTCTCGCGCAGACAAGTCCACAAAATGTCAGTCATATGACTTGGCGACAAATAGACTTCGTAGGGAGGGGTACGTAATTAGACTTTGAGCACCTACCTTTTTCCCCGCTTTCTTTTTTCCTTTCTTGCCTAAAATTTATGAAAGTTTAACTTCGTAGAATTTTGAATTTTCGCCTATAGCAATTACACGGTCCTGATTAAATATAAAATAGCTGGTTGTTCCGCCTGGCAAACGTTACACAAGGAGTTTCGGCCAAAGTGGAGGGACTTTTAAACCTCAGCTTTTCGAATCTCAACTGCAACTTGTACATGCAAGATCGAATCGGTTCAACTTGTCCTTTTGTTTGAAAAATAAAACAAAGACAATTAATTGCATTTTCTTGGCTAGTGGTTTACTCGGTTAAAGAAAACTAACCCAGTTAAAACAGTGGTGATTCAAACAACACGGCATTATCGACCATCGTCAACATTTCTGTCCTTAGCTAAGGGGAAGAAATGAATTGGGAAATATTTCATAAAGTACATTTATTGAAGATGGATTTTCTTAACAATTCTGTTTTAACGACCGCGGCTATTCTAAAATCACAACTACATTCCAATTCTTTAGCGAGACGTGCCGCACTTAACCTTTAAATCTACCATGGAAAGCACGGGTCGGGGCAGTTTCTAATGTATGACTCCACTTTGCCACTGTTTACTTGCATCAGTGTTGTGTACACGGTCAACTGTTGGAAAATGATAAAATTTCAATACAAGGAAAGTTAAACATCTTTTAATAAGAGAGTGGACGTGGCAAAAATCTAGCCTGTTACCGGCCTTCGGCAAGTAATACTTAGAAAAACAGGCACGATAGTAAACGGCGCCGATCAGAAGCAAACGTGTGAAAAAACGAAGGGGGTTTGGATGGGGTCATGTAATCAACGCGACCCGACCACACAACCACTACGGGTAGTACCGCGCCGTTTTACCAATTATTTTGCTTCGTTTTACCAACTAAACGCTTGAAATATGCTATGAAAAATCTCATTTCCCCATCAAGATTTGCCTGCAAGGTCGAATATAAGAAAACTGATGTCCAAACTCGAACACTTGCGTACGAAAAAAGGCACTACCGTCCAAAATCGGACACTAGTGACTTTTTTTTTAATTAAAGAGTGCAAACACAATTAGTATATCACCACTGATATTGAATTGGTTAATTTTATTGCAACTAAAATTATACTCTCACCTTGTTCAATACAGGTTGTGTGGAGAGAACATTGTAGATGCCTTTGAAGGACACGGCCTGATAGCATATATGTAAAAAGAAATTAACAAAAATATAAAAACAGAATTGAAAAGAGCGCTTATTTTACAAAGGGACTGTATCCATTAAACGCATAGGAAAACAAACCTCTCGTCCTGTTTTATTCATGCATGCCTTGCCCTGGAAATAGAATAAAAAAAATAACTAAAACATGAACAATTAGAAATTTTTGTTTTTAAACAGGAACAGCGTTTTGACAACCTCGTTCCCAGGGTCTTTCCCATTGTTAGGGGTGGGGCGGAGGTGGCGCGCCCCACCTCCAACAAAAGGAAAAGATCCTGGGAACGAGGTTGGCGTTTTGAAAGTTCTGCCTCCCCGATTTATTGAATAAGATAACGTACAGTTTTCCCGTGCGTGAGGAAATAGTATTAGAAGACTTTCGTAGCCCAAGGACTATAACACTTGAGCTACCCTCCCCCCTCCCCCCTCCC